TCATCATCATCATCATCATCTTCGTCATCATCATCATCATCATCGTGGTCGTCATCATCATCATCATCATCGTCATCATCATCATCATCATCCCAATCGTCATCACCATTATCGTCTTCATCATCATCAACATCATCCCCATCATCATCATGATCATCTTCATCATCTTCATCATCGTCTTCATCATCATCATCATCATCGTCATCATGTTCATCATCATCATCATCATCATCATCATCGTCATCATCAGCATCAGCATCGTCGTCGTCATCATCATCATCATCTTCATCATCATCATCATCATCATCATCATTGTCATCATCATTATCATGAGCATCATCATCATCATCATCGTCATCGTCATCATCATCATCGTCATCATCATCATTATCATCATCATCATCATCATCGTCGTCATCATCCTCATCATCATCTTCATCATTATCATCATCACCATCGTCATCATCATCATCATCATCATCGTGATCATCATCTTCATCATCATCGTTATCATCATCATCATCTTCATCGTAATCCTCATCTTCATCGTAATCATCATCATCATCATTATCGTTTTCATCAGCGTTATCATCTTCATCATCATCTTCATCATCTTCGTCACCATCATCATCGTCATCATCATCATCATCATCACCATCTTCATCATCATCATCTTCAACATCATCTTCATCATCATCATTATCAGTATCATCATCATCATCATCATCATCATCATCATCATCATCATCATCATCATCATCATCATCCAACGAATCATCATCATCATCCGAATCATCATCATCCGAATCATCATCATCCTCATCATCATCATCATCATCATCATCATCATCATCATCATCAATATCCGAATCATAATCATCATCACCATTATCATATATCCGATTCATCATCATCATCATCTTCATCCGAATCCTACATCATCATCATCAACATCCGGATCATCAACAACATCATCCTCAATTCATCATCTACATCATAACATCATCACCATAATCATCATCATCATCAGCATCATCATCATCATCATCATCATCATCATCTAATCATCTTCGTCATCCAAATCAACATCATCATCATCATCATCATCATCATCATCATCATCATCATCATAACCGAATCATCACCATCATCATCATCATCCGAATCTTCATCAACATCATCATCATCATCATCCGAATCATCATCAGCATAAACATCATCATTATCGTCATCAACACATCATCATCATCAGCATCATCATCATCCCAATCAACATCATCATCTTCATCGTCATGATCATCGTCGTTATCATCATCACAACGGTTAGTTATTTATTCAGAAATTGCAGGTTTTCTATATCATATCACCAATGGGTTCCCGTATTTATTCGGGATAATTATCAATAACTTTTATCGGTTATCCTGTAACCTAACCTTCGCAAATACTTCACAGATTCATCAGGCAGCATGTGCACTTGCTTCCTGCGGCTGAGACCGTAAAGGAAGACTCATTAAGCTCCTGTACGTTATTTTGATCACATTCCCCGCATGCTCAGTACTGACGTGGAACGCCTACCACGGTCCAGTTAGGGATATTGACTGAAGCAACCAAAGTACCTTGATCCCCGTGCATGACTCAGTTCAACTCAACTTGGACCACCGAAATCAATAACAGACTCCAATCGGTTTAGCTTATTCAGGTTACTCATCCTGTTTGAACCGTGACTCATTACCGTTAGGTAGACTGTTGAACGCTGGAATCATTTGGTTTTGGAGCATTTGGATGTATATCGGACCTAAAACTCAATCGAGCACAAATCGACAAGTTACTCGTGTAGTGTGCCCCATTGTACGGTGAAAGCCGGACAAAATCATACATTTGTCGGACATCATTTTTCTTTCATATTCTAAATGCATGTTCACATTTTTACTTCAGTATCAACGCTATGTGATGTTTGTTTTACCGGATCGTTAACAACCGTATCCTTCCGCGAGAGAACTTTCACTTTTGCTTTCGATCCTTTTTCCACGTTATCGCGCTCGTTGGTTTTGGATCCCTTCGTGCTTTAACGCAAACTCTCGTTAGCGGGTACCGGTATGTTTTCTATGCCAATGTACCTCAATACACGTCTATAACAACCACAAGTCTTCTGGTTTAACCAGCGGTACCTTGGTTTTTTGTGAGCCCAAGGTGCCGTTCTGAAGTGCGTCACAGCCGATCGTAGTCGACGTTCTTCAATTGGTGAGCCCGACAGAAACATACTTTTCGTTCTTGGGTAAGTCTGCGGTTTTGTGTCTTTGTTGTACGATATATACAGGTATTGACCAAACTCGTGCAACATCCTGATTTTTATTACATTTGTTCCT